AAGAAAGAAAGAAAGAAAGAAAGAAAGAAAGAAAGAAAGAAAGAAAGCTCTTTGTGCCTTGCTTGCTGTTTTTTCTCCAAAACCATCTGGTTGATGGCTGTAGAAAACTGGGTGCCAGGATGACAGGCTGCTGACTGGGACAAACACATCCCCATCAAGTCCACGCCGGCTGTAGCCATTTACTTGTAGCTGGTTCCTGGGAACAAAGCCAACCTGTACTGGTTCACTGAAGCTGAACCCAGAGAAAACAGCTGCATAAAACATGAGTTGCCCAACAGTCACTTCACCCTAAAGAACCCCTGAAAGGGTGGACAGAAGAACGTTGCATTTTAAAGCATCTCTCGTAATACAAAAGGCCTTCTATCATTTGCATTCTGCCTGCCTGTCATCTCTGGACCTGCTTCGGGGTGCAGGATATCCAGCTGAGAATTCCCACAGCCTTCGTTTCCAAAATCCTTGGATATGGCCATCGGAGCCCTTTCAAAAGTTACTGCTGAACTGGGATTTTTGAATACAGTGGGTTAGAAACCTCTAATGCAAAGGAAAATGAAACAAAATAACTATAATCCATTCTTTTAATTTTAGATAGATAGATTCAATCGTTTTCGTCCTGATTCAACTTTTTTTTTTTTTTTAGTGCAAATCCTAAAGCCAATTGTAGGTTGAAAGATGTTGTGCACTTAAGACCTACAGGAAAAAATAAAGGAGTGTCCACGATGGGCCAGGCAAAGAATGTCATGTACATTTTCTCATCATTGTGCAAATGATGTACAGCATGTCATTGTGTCAATCTAAACAATTACAAACTATATGTCATTTGCATGGCATCATGATATTGTACATGCTATGTTACTATGCCTAATAACAAATGCCTATGGATACATGTGAATAAAAGTTTGCATGATATCTCCACATTATCCAGATCCACAAAACATACTAAGGAAAAAGCTATAACTTTCAAATCACAATAGCAATGTGCTAAGCCAAGCCATCTACTACGAGTAACCTGCTGCTGGGTTAGAGAGTGGAATAACAAGAAGTTAGCCTGGACTGGGTTAGAGACTGGAATAACATCAACGGCCTAACCATTTGTACATCCTGAGAGCAGTTTCCAAAGAGTATAGAAATCCAGGGACTCTAGATGCAATTCTGATACCACAACGTATTGAAGATACAAATGAAGCCCTTATGGAGTTGGTTCAGAAAGTCAGGGTTTGATTCTGATTTGCAAAGCGTGTACAGGATAGGTTCACACATTATGTTAACCTGCAATGTGTTTAGATTAATTTCAATTTAATGTTTTGTCTGAGCCCTGTATAAAACTGTATAGCAATGACTACGAATATTAAAAAATGGCTTAACACCGAATCAATGACTAACCCAATGGTGAGTATTCTGGCCCATGAGCATACAAGGATGTCATATGCATAGTGCTATCATCATCACATAAACCAAGTTAAATGAATTTTGCCCATGTTATTTTTATGGATAAGATGATATTGTGGTTTTTAATGATCATTATTGTATTCTTGACTAGCAAGAGCTCTGCCCAATTTATGCCAACTCTATCTGGAAACAATGGGTATTGAACCCAGGTCCATCAATAATCAAAATACATTTTCAACCACTCAGTTATTGTGCAATCAACCTAGTGATTTTTTTTCCCCCAATGGACATTCAAGTGTATGGTTATAAAATACTAATTGAAGATTCCACCTCCATGGACACATTCAGGGATGGTGGTAACAGCACCCACACTACAAATAAACTGGGAAGTTCATGCATTCCATGTGCTAAGATGGAATGATGGGAAATGCCTATGTTGGAACTTTATCAAACATAATTACCCTACGAGAGCACTAATTCTCACAATTTGTACGGTGGGTGAGCTAATCATCTCTACTTTCCTCAAAGCGACAACCAAAGCTATGCCCCACGTGCTCCTGTATGAAATTAGATTTCCACTATGTTCTCTTTTGAGTTAGCCTGTTACAAAAATAAAACTGGAAAGTAGAAACATGATCCTAACGAAGCAGTAAAGAAGTTTTATGTCAACTTTTATGCCATAAGAATAGCAGTCTGCTGTAACAGTAGACCTGTTTATTGCTCTTGTGAGCTTATTATAAATTTCTTTTCAGGGCATCAGTACAAAATGACCGATGTGATGCCTTTCTAATCTGCATTTTTTTAAAACAGCAAAAGCAAAAACCACTTTGGCAAACCCTCGAGCACCACATTAAAATTTCCTGTAAAGAGAAAGATCACTTTTCCTCATCCTCTTCTATCACAGCTTCCCGAATCGCTTCTCATAAAAGCTAAAAACAGCTCCAGCACCTGCAGCTCCAAAAAGACAATCACATTTTTTTTTTTACCTTTCCCCTGTGCTAGTTTTCTCTGATGCTGAACTTCACTGGAGATCTTCAGCTGGAGATCAGCTAAAAGAAACCACCCCAGGCTAAGATCTACGGGCCCTGAGCAGCTTATAATATAAAATTCAATGAAAGGAGAAAATGGAAGATCAGGGATAAAGCTCACCAAAACGGGCAGCTTTCTCATGCAGTCTTTCCTTCACTTGTGGAATCCCCATGGCTTCTGATTACTAGGAAACCGTCTCCGAGAGTCTCCTTGTGGTTGTGTGGCTTTGTTGTTGTTTTTTAAATACAGGTAGTCCTCAACTTACGACCGCAATTGAGTCTGACATTTATGTTGCTAAGTGAAACATGTAAGTGAATTTTGCCCCATTTTACGACCTACCTTGCCTCAGTCGTTAAGTGAATCATTGCAGCTGTTATGTTAATAACACGGCTGTTAAATGAATCTGGCTTCCTGGGTTATTTTGCTGGTCAGAAGGTCGCAAAAGGGGATCACAGTATGCCCCGGGATACTGCAACCATCATAAATATGAACTACTCGTTGATCTGCATCCAAATTTTGACCATGTGACCATGAGGATGCTGCAACAATGGTTGAAGTGTGAAAAATTGTCCTAAGTCACTTTTTTTCAGTGAGGTTGTAACTTTGAACGGTCATTAAAGGAACTGTTGTCAGTGGAAGACTATCTGTATTCTCTCGGGTACCCAGAGAATGTCCATGGTTACCCGGTTTCATTTCTTCCCCCTTCGGTTCCTGGTCAAAATTTGGATTTCTGAGCCACCAAATCAATCAAGCAATCAAAACAGGGCGGGGCTGAGAGACCGGGCAGCTCCCTCCCTCCCTCTCTTCCCCCCCTCTCCCTCCCTCCCCGTCTCTCTCCCTTCTTCCCCACTCTCTCTTTCCCTACCCCCTCCCTCTTTCCCTCCCTCCCCTCTCTCTCCCTCCCTCCCTCCCCTGTCTCTCTCCCTTCTTCCCTCCCTCTCTTTCCCTCCCTCCCCCCCTCTCTCTCTCCCTCCCCCCCTCTCTCTCAGAGCCCAAAGGGGCTATGTATTCCTGCATCGTGGTGACCTTCTGTCATTGGCCACACCAGCCACGGAGTTTGTTCAACTCCGTTGGAGGCTGGGGAGGAGGAAGAGGTGGAAGAAGAGGAAGGGGCGCCCCCCCCCCCCCCGCCCGCCACCGTCCCGGCGAAGAGATTTAAAGTTTGAGCTGCAGGAAGGGAAGCTTCGTCCGGCCGCCCAAGCCCCGTCCGGGCGTCTCTTATTAAGGTGTTTCTCTCCTCCTTTCTCCCCCCACCCCGCCGCACCCCCAAAGGAGACCCAGTCCCCCCGATCCCACGCCTCTCCACAAAGGGCTGGGCCGAGGAAGGCCTCCCCCAGTCCCGGCCTCCTTCCCCTCTTTCGGGGGTCTCCGGCCAACCGGGCTGGGCTGCAAAGGTCTCCCCCCTCGGCCGAATGGATTCCCCGCTAGGCTCACCAGTTGCAAGGAGCAGAAGCCGACCAGCGTGCAGCGCCCGTTGCATCTGCCCATGGTCGCCGGGTGGCCGAAAGCCTCCTTTCTCGCCGTTACCGTCAGGAAGAGCGCCGCGCCTCCCGTTGCTAGTGACAACCCCCGGCTCGGAGGGCATCCAGAGGCGGCAGAGGCGGAGGCTGCAGCAGCGGCACCGGCCGGCTCCTGTGTGCCATCGCTGCCCGGCGAGAAAGAGGCGCCTCGTCCGTCTCCCCGCGCGCCGCCTTTTGTCTCCTGTCGCCGAGGAAAGAGAGAGAAAGAGAGGGAGGAAAGGGAGAACGGAGCCGCCTCAAGGCGTTATCTGCTGCCCCCGCCGCGCCGCCCCTCAGCCCGCGGGAAGCAGCAGCCCCCTGGCTCCTTGGGAAGGTGCCTCGTTCGTTTCCGCCCGCGCTCAGCAGCAACCGGGCTCCGTCACACACACACGCGCGCGCACGCCCCCACCCCCCGGGCTGAGAGGGTCTACCGGGCGATGAGGGGAGGTAGCCCGGGCTTTGTCCCGCGCGCGTTACACGCGGGGGAGGAAGACTCTCCGCCGCCTGCAGAAGCGCCACTCTCAAAGCCTCCGCTCTATTGTTTTCTCCGCCTCCTCCGCCGACACACCCACGGCTGCGCTGCTCCCGGGCGGGCGCGGAAGAGCGAGCCGGCGGCAGCGGCTTGGGAAGGGCAAGCCGTCACTCCACGAGACGGGAGGCAGCGCAACCAACCCCTTGACCGGAGGCAGAAGACGGTCGCGCGCGGGAGAGGAGGGCGAGGGGGAAACAGCCCCCTCCCCACACAGACACAGACACACATACACACACACACACCACGTGGCTCTCCAGCTGCGCCCTGGGCGTGAGGGCGAGGCGTGTGTGTGGAGAGAGAGAGGGAGAGAGAGAGGCGAGAGCGGAGCCCCTCCCCGCCTCTGCCTTCGGCTGTCCAGTCACGAAGACGGACGCCGCGGAGCGAGGGGCTGGGCCTCGACCGGCTACGCCTCCCCTTCTCGGACAGTTGTGGGTCCCTCAGGGCGCGAAGGCGGAGGCGGGAGAAGTTGGGAGGATGGAAGAATTGGGCGGTGGGGTCGCCGCGCCTCTTCTCGACACAAACGTGCAGCGGGGTCGAGGGCGAGTCTGGAACATGCCCTCCCGACGCGTTTGTTCTTTGGCAAGGCTGGCTTTGGGCAGCTTGGATCCCTGTGGGGTGAACAGGGACTTCCAACGTTCAACTGGGAAGATGATGGGAAATACTCATTCACTCAAACCTTTTAGTACTGGGAACATAGTAAGGCCAAAAAAAAAGGACCGAGCCAAAAAAAAAAATGACTAACCAAACATAAGATATTCGGCTAGGTTGGTCATTAATGTTCAGTGTGCACCAACTTTTTTTATTTATTTATTTTGTCAAGCAATTATAAGATAATAGGTATAAGTAAAACATAGTTATGTTTTAGTTATAGTTATAAGAAAAATAAAAAACAATAGGACAGGGACCGTAGGCACCTTGGTGTGCTTATGCAGGCCCCCTACAGACCTCTTAGGAAAGGGGTGAGGCCCTGAAAATATTGTTTTTCTGTTTGTTATTTACATTTTTGTTTGTATCCCATCTTTTAGTATGTTTACAAATAACTCGAAGCGGTGAGCATATCCACGGCATCTTCCCTCCTTCTGTTTTCCTCGCCATGGACCAGGTGAGGTGAGCTGAGCTGAGCTGAGACTGTGACTGGCCCAAAGTCACTCAGGTTGGCTTTCAGGACTGGAAATCAATGGTTTCTAACCTGGTGCCCAGAGGTGGGTATTCAGCAGGTTCTGACCATTCCTGGAGAACTGATAGTGGAAACGTTGAGTAGTTCGGAGAACCAGCAAATCCCACCTCTGACTGGCCCTGCCCCCATCTATTCTCTGCCTCTCATTGAGTCCCAGCTGATCGGCTGGGTCTTCTTTGGCTGCCTTGCACAGGAGAACGGAGCTGGAAAGCAGGTTAGGGGGTGGGGGCGATTTTATAGTATCCCTCCCCTGCCACGCCCACTAAGCCATGCCCACCGAGTCACGCCCACAGAACCGGTAGTAAAAAAATTTGAATCCCACCACTGCTGTTGCCTTAATTAACCACTTGACCAAACTGGGTCTTGTTTTACTCTCCCCTCACCCTGCCTGCATGATGGAAAGGATGAGATTTACTTTGTATGTCAGCACTTTGTATCTCCAAACAGTATAAAACAGGGCAGGACCAAATCTGGTGTGGTGAAAAGTCAGCCAAAGAACCGTCCAATTCACAAATGGGCTGGATCCTTCCAAGACAGACTTCCCCCAACGTTTCCAGCTTTGTAGACCGCCAATCCCTGGGGAAGGGGTGTTTGCGCAAGTGGCTGGCAAGCGCGTGTGTGTGCACAGCTCCATTTCTGTGAGCGGTGTGCACGCAAATGGAACGTGTGTGCATGTGCTCGCCTGCTGCTTGCCCAAGCGAAGATGTGCGCGTGTTGGCCGGTCATTTCCACAGCCCAGCTGCAAACTCCTCACGGCCCACCAGTGGGCCATGGTCCACAGATTGGGGACCCCTGTTCCAAGGGCTTCAGAGAAAAGCAGTCCAGAACAAATTCTTCCTTGCATTCCTATGGCAGAGAGGTGGTTGGGCAGTGGCTTCAAAGGCTGTTCTCACGTGACCTGGCGCAGATTCTATGGTGCTGCTCGTGCTACTATGTCATGCACATACAAGACACTACACGTTATATCATTGCATCAAAGACAATTCTACTGTTGTTTCAGTCACATGAGGTTTTCTGGATTCTCAAGCTGTGGTTTGCTTGGCTCTGCTGGGTTTGCCCAGCGCCCTCAGCAATCTAAGCCAAACAAGCATCTTTTGACTGGGAAGGCATGTGAATGCTGCTATTTTTAGTCTTGTTCGATGGGCAATTTGGAATATCTCATAGAAGTAGGTGTTGATTATGGCATAAATCAGGGTTTACCAGCCTGTTGACCTAGATGTTTTAGGGATTTTGTTGCTAGGTTCTAGCGTAGAAAAACATTCGTCTGGTGCTTTGCTCAAAACAATTGCAATTCAGGAGGCCAATTTGGTGTAGTAACTAAGGTACTGGCCTAGAGACCAGGAGACTGTGAATTGTAGTCCTGTCTTAGGCATGAAAGCCAGCTGGGCAACTTTGGGCCAGTCCTCTTTCAGCCCAATCCACCTCACAGGGATGTTGTTGTAGGAAAAATAAGAGAAGAGAGGAGGTATGTATGTTTACACCACAAGTAACCACAATGAGTTACTCATCTATATGTATAAAAGCAAAAGACCACTCACGCATCATCACAAAATCTCCACAACCGTAAAGCCTACAAACTTGAAATTTGGCACGTATGTTCCTCTTGGCTTCTTGGTGCTCACTAAGAAAGGATTTTTCTAAATGACCACCAGAGTATTAGTATTTCCTATATTATTATTAACACACTCTGAAGCTAAGGAATTCTACTCCTCCTTCCCACCTGAAAAGAAATCTCTTCCAAATGCAAAACACAAGCAGAGGAGAGGAGTTTCAGTTTTAGTTTCACAGCACCAAGCAGCTTTCGTACAGAACAGATGAGCTAAGCCACGCCCAGGCTCCTTGCTGTCTCCTTGCTCACATAGCAAATACTGTTTTACTTTCCAAATAGCCCTCAACACTCTCACACTGACAGGACGCTAGCCAGATGAATACTGATGGATGCTGGTAGGCAGAGGCAGTTTTTTTCCCCCCTTATTTTCCTCCCCCAAAACTAAGCCTGATCACATAGTTTCGTAACGAAGCATGGGTACAGAGCTAGTAAAGTAATAAAGGCAGGATAAAAATCTACTTAAAAAATAAAAACCCCTTTCTCGGGATGGAAAGTCAAGACAGCTAAATAAACTACATGCAGAAACTGCATCTCCCTTGCAAATAAAGAGAAACATGTCAAAGACCTCCTGAAGTTAAACTTGTGAATGGGTGGATGTGGAGAAATGAACCTCAGAATAACTTCCATATCTCTTCAGGTCCTCCAGGTGCATCAGCGCCATGTTTTCTTGTTCTGCACATCCAACATTGTATCCGAATGGTCAAAGATAGGCAATCCTCAACCGTATGGGAGAGAGGCTCTGGCAGACATACCTGACTCCTGTCTTGCTCTGCCAGTAAAGGAAGTCAGGTAAAAGCTGGATATTATGCTGAGTGGTGATGTTTTCTTATTCACCGCGGAGCTCCCTCATTAAGTTTTAATGGCCAGACCGTTGATGGCGGTAATGGATGCATTGATGGAGAAAATAAACAGTTTGTGTTCCTAAGCACATGGAAAGCAACGGACAGCCACCTACCTTCCTGGAGTTGAAACTGGGTCACCCATTGCATGAATAAAATATTTTGGGAAATATTATAAAGGAAGAATATTATATTTCCCCAAAGGGAGAAATGGAGAAGCATGCTCTTAAAGACAGAAAGCAGCCCCTGGTCTTTCTGAATAGCCCACGGCAGATGCCAGCACTTAAGGAGATAAAGAGCTTATTGAAAGAGGAAGCCAACTATCTAGATAGCACCATTCATAAGTAAAGCAGATATAGCAGGCAGAAAATTGATTCAAGACAGGATATTTCAAAACTCCTTGCAGCAAAGTTTGACTGCTAACGAAGGCAGAATGGTAGGATTTGGAAAGGAGCCCCTCACTCAAAATCCAGGACAGGATGAAAATTAGCCACAATAGGAATTGCCCAACACCCTTTCAGGGGACAATCCCCTTCACTGCACCACCTCCAGAACAATTCAGGCTTCAAAGTCCCAGAAACCTACAAAGATCCATCCACTCATTCAACCATTTATTCAGCTGACCCAGGACTGCTGTTGGTTCTGTTCATCATTAAACTTTCTTTCTAATCAGCCTCTATGTTGTTTCCAGAGTCTTTCTCCCAGCTTGGACCTGAACCAGATGGATTTCCCCCCTCCCAACAGTTTTATTTCATGTAACCAAAGGCCAAATTTCAGGCCACTTCAGAAACAGATAGGAAAATGTCAAGTGGCTTTTAGAAATCCATGCAAAAGTAGGTGCTATCTGTATATAAAAGAAGCCAAGGCAGCAGCTCTGACTACACAATCAAAGCCCTGCTGGTTTGCTCTTGTTTTTGTTTTGCATGCATTGTCCACGTAGGAGGACCTTGAGCTTGTCTGGAGGGAGAGGGAGAGAGGGGGAGGGGAGCAACTGTTGTACAACTTTGACGGAAGAGATGTACCTTCCTTCTATCTTGGACAGTGCAGAGCTTTGAGAAGGATGCACATGAAATAATAAGGTATTCTGACCAAGGCTTATTAAGACACTAACAAACACCTTACTTCCAAAACCCTTTTTTTCTTTATTTCAACGGCTCTGAATTATAGTCATTCACAGCCCGTAATGAGTCTCAACCAGTTTGTAAAGAGTC